CATCCCTAAGTCAGATTATAAACTAACAAGTGAATACTGGACATAACAATTGTTATTGTTAACTGAACCACGCGGCGTTTTAAATTACAAAGAGTTCTCTTATTTCTTAAAAATATTCTATACCGTACATATTACAAACTTGTATGTACTTTTATTCTGAACGTAAAAAGCTTAATAATGTCGTAATATCGAAAACATTTTTTGAAAGTTATTTTATTATCGACCTTCAGATATTTTATAACAAAGCGAATGTGCGAATAAAATTTTACAACGAACCTTACCACAATGTATGTATTGTATACATACAATGTATACATAATAATAAACAAACATATAGACATCCCTTTCATTCTATGTACAAAAGTCAGAGATATCAATATGTTTTTATAAATGTTTCTGCAGTGGAAACTCAGTCAGTAACATTGTTCTGTCATAAAAACAAAAATACAGTTTGTTTTAATTTTCTACCGATTTTACGATTGTAAAACTCACAACGTATCCATTGCGAATGAACATCCGTTATTTGGATATAAATAATTTATAAAACACGTGCGTTAATAGAACGACTGCTTACGAACACTTCCGAGATTTTTAATTTTGTAACGTGAGTTGCATCATGTTACTCTAGATAAGAAATATAACTAGGAAAGTTACACCATACACAAATATACTTGCAAAAATATATACAGAGAGGTAAGAAAAAAGGTAAAAATTAATTCGAAACTTAAAACTTTATTTTTGAAAGAAAAACAATCGATTTTACTAAAAGACAATTAAAAATACTAAGTTACTTTTGACTTTTCTGCATACACCGAAAAATTTCATTACATAATTATACTTCACAAGTTCAATTTTCATATATTTATATAAAAATTAGTAGCATTAGAAATATCTATTCTCTACTATTTTGCCGTAAAATTGTGGTAAGAAATTTATATAAATACGTGACATCGGACAGCCCTATACTGGCCGAATATAGGACGTGTTGCAACCATATTATATTTAAAAAAATCTTTTATTTTTTTACGACTTGTTTATTGTGCAAGTTCATTTGCACACAAGCACATGCTCGGATCACGTTTGAGTATCATTCATGTCGCAATATTTGAGAGACATGCAACCATAGATGATTTGACGTAATTAAATGTATCCGAACGGCTAAATACTTTTTTTACAGTATTTGCATAATCTGTGTTGCCAGTTCACAAATTAAAAAGTGCTAAGTGATATTTTACGATTAGCTATAGTAGGTTAGTGATTATTTATAAAGGAAATATAAAATTATCCAAGATGCCTACACTTCCTCTTTTCTGAAATAAAGGACGAGATTTTCTTAATAATAAAATATTAAAACAAAATAAACACTAAAATTAAGCGTGAAAGACATATTCCATTTTTAAAGTAAAGCCTAGATTAAATATGGATTACTGAAGATATGGTAAAAGATAAAAAAAAATTGTTGCAAAATTGCAAAATTACATATTTTGCTTATCGTTTAAGTTACAATTGCTTATCGTAATACAAAAAAATTCTTATCCCCCCCAAAAAAATAATCCCTTGTTCAAAAAAATATCACAAATGAAATTGATACATATTAGGTCGCGTCTTAGTCACGTGCGGCAAAGGTCGTTATAATCGCCTATACTATTAAAAAAAACGTCACGTATTACGATTGTTTCAAGGCGATTATTGGCAACAACAACTATAAAGATTATGCTGAGGAAGCATAAATTACCGCGCAATTTGCATGAGAGCGAACGGCGAAAGTACATTGTGTCCGTACAACGTACTTTCACGTCTCAATGCAACTCTTATACGTTCAAGTATTTCTAGGAAACGATCAGGGAGTTATTACATCGCTTGTGTTTTGTATTGTGTCCGTATTTATAGTTCGGCTTTTGATAGATTGTAAGAATATAAAGCTACGTTTCCACTAGTTAGAACTAAACGAACGTATTAAACTTCATGCAACATGACTAATAACGTGCTATTTAAACCGTAAGACAGACCTATGTAGATTATTTAAATAAACAAACATAAGAAAAGATATGTTTACAAGACGAGCGTAACAAGGAATAACGACAAAAACAAACCTAGCTAACCAGACAACGCGAAACAAAGCTATAAACATAGAAAACGTGAGTAAATAAGGATCCGTTTGTACTATACTAAGTACATTAGTATACTGCAACTGCATTACCTGTGGCTTCACAAATGGACACCGTTAAAAGGATTTCGTCGTCGGGGGTTTCACTATTTACCAACGAATCCACCAAACAAAGAAGCTTTTGTTGGATTTTTTTATAGAACATTGTTGTCGGGTGTGCTTGCACTTAGAGGTTATGCGTCTAAGAGATATCATTATGAACTAATGCCTGCGACCCCGTCTGCGGAATTAAAAAAACTCTCGTAATAAATTTAGTCTACATGAGTAGCTTCACACCAGTGAAAATATTGTTCAATTGGTTCAGTTTTAAAGCCCATTCATAAACACACAATTAAATATTTCTTCCTTATAATATAAGTATTATACACAAATAATTATAAATAATACAATTTATTCCATACTTGCCTTTCTTTTGTTGACATTGTTGACTTTATGAAATCAGTAAATGTTTCTTCAATGCTTTAACACATTAAACAATTTTATAACTATTCCAAAGCCAATGATCTTTTAAATTACGTCGATATCAACGTGATCGCTTTTGAGAAATAAACTATTAAAATCAAATTTATTAATGTATCACAATCGTAATAAAACAGAGAGCCCGTCGACTTTGATTGATTAATAGGCCATAAACAAAAAAAATCATATCAGTTTTGACAAATGAAAATACTAAAGTTATTTTCCAATGCCATAACATTGTATAGGCATATTATCATCCCTTTCATTTTCTTTGATAAAACAGAGACAAAAAAGAGCAGGGCTGGCAAACCTTTACGTATCATCAACATTTAAAAAAAAATGTTCGATAAAATCATAGATCATTATTTTTTTTTATTTTATGATTATTCCGTCGCATAAACATCACAGGCTTCGGGCCTCATATAAGTAATAAATAATTCACACTTTTTTCGTATTGCATTATGAAATTTGTCATCAATGATGTGTTCTAAAAATGTCGCGTGCCATTGATTCGCTATTCCTGGACTACATGTATCAATAAAGTTTAACGACAGTCCAAAACCACAGTAAAGTTCATTCTGTATTCAAATCTGAGAGACAGTAACATTAATTGGTTAGAAGATAGCAGGTCCATATTAACGAGGTGCTTTGAACTTATGCCTACGTGCGGGTATGTAGGGCCCCAATAGGAGTTTTTTTTACTGGAAACTAAATATTATTCCACAGTCGTTTGTAGTTTATACTTGAGTTGAATACTTATAGTTTTTATTCGATAAATTATCGGGAAATGAAAGTTTTTGATATTCAATACGATTTTTTTTCCATTGATGGATGGGTTAGGCAATGTTAATAAATCAGATATTATTCTATTAAATTATTCAAACTTTAGTAAGACATTATACTAAACTGATATAAAAACGGCGAAACACCCACGTATATTCGCCGCATCCGCGAAATAATACCAGTACCACTCATCCTGATGAAAGGCCCCCGATGGGCTCGAAGCTAGTCGGTGCCGCCACCGGACGAATATGTACGTGTGTTTAGCCGTTTTTATATCAGTTTTCAAATATTAATGAGACTTGACAAGTTTTCTTACTTATATAATATATGTATTATAATTTATTTTTTGTAATTTTCTAAATAAATAAAATAAGATCAAATGATATCTCAATGAATAAATAACATAAATTTATAAGAGTTTTGTCTAGATAAGCTATCGAGATCGTGATCCGACTTCAAAGCGATATTTTCAATGACAAATATGAGAATAACTATATTTAGAATAAGATTTAAAAGATAATTTTAAATCTGCAATAAACAGGATCCAAAGCATATCGTAATTTTCTTTTTAATTTATCTTATATTTTTAAAGAACAATATAAGGTAACTTTCCTATAAATATTCAGATGTATAGAAAACTAGACTGTTATCTTTTCCAACAACTTTAACCTTCAAAATGTTTTTACCTACCCTATAATCATTGACGTCTCCGTAGTACAATATTGACTCGATCTTAGAACAGTGCACCGTTAATACGACCGCTGTATTTACGTTACAAAAAAACATATTTGCTTTACAAACATTAAAGTAATAAAATAAAGGTTGATAAGGCAAAACTCAGTTTGTATTCGAAGTCTCTGGCGTCATTTGTCAAATAATACTTTCGCCGTAGATTGTACAAATACTGATACAGTTCCAATATTCCAATAAACATGTAACCTTTGTGTGGACGTTATAAATCGAAACGAGAAAGCGTACAAAGAATTTTAAATAAGAAACCGTCGCTGGAGTTATTGTTGCGTACGTTTAAAACAAGTTTCTCTTGTTGATAAGGCCACAAATGTCCGAACGTGTCAATGACTGCAACTGCTTCTATTCTTCAGGATTCAATTTACCCATAGTCTATATCTACAGTAATAACGACTTTAGTTTTAGGTACCCTTTTACTTAAAAAAAAACTTTAGTGCTTCTTTGACACCATTTTAAGGACAAAAACCAGAAACCTTTGTTACAATAATAGTAGCAAGGACTGTCTTTCAAACAGGTCAGTATGACATAATTACTTTAGTCCTTTATTTAATTGTTTCTTGTAAAAATATTTATCTGTGGATATCTGTGTTGGCGCCAGCTGATAACAAACGGTCTTTACTAATTAATGTTATCGTAAACAACGCTAAAAGTCTTTTTAACTAATCACTTTAATATCGTGACAAATCAGGGCCATTTGCGATAGCCCATAGCAGTTGTTGAACCAAAAACGTATTATCGAATCGTGTCTTCGTGCAGAATAGTCGAACAAAAGATAAATTATACCTGTACGTGGTATGCGCCAGCTACTAATACATAAAATGAACATTTCCAATAAGCTTACCGTTAAATGTGTCGTAGGCAGTGGGCTGGTAATCCTCCCGAAACGTGTCCTGCGCATAGGCTGCAATTAATGAACTCTTTCCCACCGCTCCGTCACCGACCAACACACACTTTATCTTCTCTTTCTTTCCACATTTCACTTTACGTCTGTCTTTTATCTGAAACATTCGATTCAAAGTCCTCCTGCTCTTTTTGTCGCGCACTGCCCAATCGTTTACTTTATCACAGCAGTTCATGTCTTCGGACACATCATCCTGTATCACAGTGTGACCGTTTTCCTCTGCCACCTCCGAATAATCGTAGTCATCGTCCTCGTCTCTTCGCGGAATCGGAAATTGGCTAGGGCTGTGTATGCCGAACACAAAAGGGCCGTCTCTCTCCGGCAAACGGTTAGCGAACCCGTTCACCGGGGTCGGCGGCTTAGCATAATGCACAGTCGGGGCACGGTACTGGCTCGATAGGTATTCGGCTGACGCGTGAGGGTCAAATCTGAAGACGAGTTCCGCTTCTCTGCGGTCCAAGCTCAGATCGGGAGTCGTCACTTTGTCTTGAAAGTAGCCAACCTTCTCCCGCGCTCTTGCCTCTTGCAATCGTTTTTCGAGTTCTACGTTCGAAGGCTTCCAGTAATCTGGACGGTATTCGTAGTAGTCCGTCGGCAGATTCCGGGGCGCAGGCAGAGGTCGGTGCGTGCCGAAGTCTCGGGGTGGTGCGCGCGGAGGCACCACTACTGGCTTTTGCGGTTCGGCAAGCAACGGCCGTCGCGCCGACAGGTTCGCGCTCGCGTTCCTGTTAAACATGATACCTTCTAAACTAGGAGACATTTGCACCGTCACAAACTTTGATCTTGAATAGAGTCTTCCAGTGTTGCGTTCGCGCACATCACTCGTCGTCGGAATACAATCAAGCGCGTGAAAGTCTCCGAGGAACGATAACGCGACACAACGTCGCACAACGTACACTCACACCGGAGTTCGGCACGCAACTGACGGACGACGACGAGCGAGCGCTGCGCGGTCGAGTAATCGAGCTCGCTAGAATAGAGTCGCATTGAAATCGGGTTCGTGCCGGCTGCTCCCCTCGCATATAGAAATGACCTGTTGCTTCTGTTACCTGCCCAGGTACAAGTCTCGTTGGAGCGCAGCTGCCGGGAACAAAGCGCACCCGTCACATAGCGTCGCGGTGCGCTAACTTGCGGCGCTCATTCAACGATACACAAATGATATGAATGAATCGCGACGTGTTTTGTTTACCTATCACGATGTACTCACACCAACATCTACGAAATATTTACTATGCGACGGGTAGAGAATGATTTATCATTTTATATTTGCTTATTTATTCAGAGTGGGTTTTACCACACAATAGAACTGTAGTACATGTTATAACTGAAATAATCATAAATAGTGAACTTTCACGTATGAACCTATTTAAGATGGTAGTTTTTTTATTAAGCCATTGACATTTCTGATTTTTTTTTATTAGTTTAAAACACATTCATAAATTTTCACATCAAATGGAGTCTTAATACATAATGCTAACATTGTACAAATGAAATAAATTTTTAATGTAATAGGAAGAAACAAAGCACTATCAATGTTACATTTGCATAAAGCAAAAGCCGTAATTAGACGGTGGAAACATATTTGTTTTTGAATTTTTTCGTTAAAATAGTAACTTTTTCTCAAAGAAAACTAAAATAATTAATTTGCAATGTCTAAGCCAAGTTTAAAAAACAAAGTGCAAGGAAGCGCGCCTGTAGTTACATTGTGTAAGTCAAGTACCTCTGTTCGAAATTAGATGCAATAATATTACATATTGCATATGTTATGATTTTTTATTCCATAAATTTTTTCGTTCTCTCCACATTTAACAGTAAGTTACTTTTAGTCGTAAACTTATTGCTGGGCGTAGGGACACTTGCCTATCTTCTATGTGGTCATTCCTACATGCCCGCTGCCAGGCGAGCGAAACTTTTATAATCTGTGCTACAAATTAAACGCAAAGCGGAGATCCTCCATCTTGAAAATTGTGTCCATTCAAAGTCGGCTACTTATAAATAAATAAGTTTAGTGTGTATGTGTTTAATCAAAATATTAAAGAAAAATAAGAGTGCAAATTAAAAATATTTTTTAAATAATTTGTAGTTTAAACCTAAAAATCAAAGAGTATATAAAATAAAAATGTTCCATATTTTGCAGGTGGCAATAATACTAATAGCACATGTTGATAAAACGAACTGTCAAACTAAAGAAGTGTCAAAATAAACCGACGTGATAAGTTAGGTTATGTTTTAAATAGTGTTTTAAGTCGTAATTTACTAAGTTCATATATTTAAAGTTATCTGCTTATTAGATATGGCGAAATTTAAACTAAGTAAGTTATCTTTTTCCTCCTTCACAGTAAAATGGTTTTTCACGTTAACTATTAGCAGAAAATAAAATTGCGAAAATTTTTAGTGTAAACTTTTCTTGGTTTATCTTTTTACATACAATACAAAAAGTTATATTAATATTGCTAATGTATACCATTTTTCGTAACAAAATACCAGTTTTCGTAATCAAAGGTTTTGCACGTGTCCCTTTTAAAAATTAATAATTACCACTAGAGAAACTATGATGGTGAAATCAAAGTTTAACATTAATTTAAATAATTTCTTACAATTGCAATATTACAGAAAAGCCATCAAAGAGGCAACCAGCACGGTTGAGGTATAAAATAGAAAAGAAAGTGAGAGATCACAACAGGAAATTAAAAAAAGAGGCAAAGAAGAACCCAAAGTCAAAGAAGAACAAGCCAATTCAGATACCAAATGAATGTCCTTTTAAAGAAGATATTCTGAAAGAGGTTGAAGCTGTTAAGAAACACAAAGAAGAAGAGAAACAGAAAAGAAAGGAACTTGCTAAATTAGAAAAACAGAAGAAAAGGGAAGAAAAGAAGAACAATCCCGTTGCTATGGATACTTTAGTATGAATAACTTAACAAGTAGCTTACATGTTCTTCCAGACTTTGTTCTGTAGGAGTGCCAAATTTCATCAAAATTTGTTGAGCTGATCCAGAGATGCCTTCAAACAAACATCCATCCATCCATGTAAACTTTCTTAATTATAATATTAGTGAGATTATAACATCTCTTGCATAGTTGTATTGGGATTATTAAAAATTAAAATATGGAAAAAATAGTTTATCATATCATAATATAGTAAAGCAGTTATAATTAAAAATTGTAATATATTTTTAGGTAGCCAATGCAGAGGCAAGAGGGAAAGTTCATGATGCCTTCAAAGGTGGTGATGCAAATGATGATGTGGAATTTGGTAAAGACAGGCAGCAGGAGAACTCTTTAAAAACTTATTATAGAGAATTCAAAAAGGTCATTTCCGAAGCTGAAGTGATTTTAGAAGTTGTTGATGCCAGAGATCCATTAGGTATGTAATAATATTTAATGTTTTCATTTTGTTAACAATCTGCCAATCTTTGGCATTAGATTTAATTTTAAGGTTATATGGTATGGTTAATTTTTGTAATATTAATGTTACAACATGTTCTAACATGTTATAACAAGATTGAAGAGATTCATTAATAGTTTTTTTTTTATTAAAATATAAATTTATTGTGTTTTAAACCAATGACGTATTAAGCGATATTTAAAATACAAATTTACAAAATCTGCTAACATTTCAAATACAAACTTTCAGGCACTAGATGTGTTCAAGTAGAAGAAGCAGTCCGCGAATCAGGCAAGAGGCTAGTGTTAGTACTAAACAAGGCAGACCTAGTGCCTCGTGACAATCTCACAGCATGGCTAAAGTACTTAAGAAGATTTGCTCCAGCGGTGCCATTCAAAGCATCCACGCAGGACCAGCAACATAACTTAGGGAGAAGGAAAATGAAACATATTGTTAAAGAGAAAGAAATGAAAGGTAACTTAATATATTTAACACTTTTAGATATATTTAATAATGAATTTAAAAAAAATACTTAAAAATATGTAGCCAATCTTTGCAATAAGTGAGGTTCTTGTTAAGGATATAAAGTTTTATAATTGTTTTTTAAATTCCGCGCGGACGGAGTCGCGGGCGTCCGCTAGTATTACAATATTATCGATGCAATGAGTTAATTTTAAACTTTGTATTTTCCAGGTTCAGCGTGTGTAGGTGCTGAACTCCTGATGAGTCTTTTGGGCAACTACTGTCGTAACAAAGGAATTAAGACATCAATAACAGTGGGTGTGGTCGGTCTGCCCAATGTTGGCAAGAGCTCCATCATAAACAGCTTGAATAGATCTAAAGCTTGTAATGTTGGTAGTACTCCGGGTGTTACAAAGTGAGTTTTATTTTTTAAAATTATCAGATAAAAAAATAATTGTACTCATACAGATATTATTTATGTATTTAGATTTTTTTAATACTATGAATGATAGATTAATAACAGGGCTGGTTTAATTTGGCAGTAAACAATTTGCTTTAACTATATTTTAATCACTTTAATTCTATTTTAAACAGAAATTTAGGTATTTAGCAATATTTAATATATCTTTTTCTATAATTTTCAGGCAAATGCAAACAGTACAATTAGATTCAAAGATTAAGATCCTCGACAGTCCTGGTATAGTGTTCCATACGGGATCAGACAATGATGCATCTGTAGCCCTCAAGAATGCCATCCGAGTGGGCAGTCTGAAGGACCCAGTGACCCCCGCCACCGCCATACTGCAGAGAGCACACAAGCATACATTAGTTGATTTGTATTGTGTACCACCGTTCAATACTCCACAAGTAAGGTTTATGTTCATACTATCTGTCGCCAGCGACTCCGTCCGGGTGGATTGAAAAAAGTTTTTAGGTCCCTCCAATTATTTGATTTTTTCTTACCTTTTAAATATTTTCTAGACCTCCATGAACATATCAAGATAAGATAAATTCGTTCAACCGTTCTCGAGTTTTAACGAGACTAAACAACAGCAGTTTATTTTTATGTATATTTATATGAATTTGAAATTTTTTTTTGTTAATTGTACTTTTATGAATAATTATAATTGTACTATTATATATTGTGTTGTAATTATAATTAAAAATATATATTCTTTACCCGTAGAAACTGTAGAATCCTATTGATGTGAGTTTTAATACATTTTAATTATATAATACATTAACAAATTTAAAAAAAATTGATTCTAATTTTTTTTGTGAACGATACATCTTATGTTTAATACAAAGTTTTTTATAACTTAATCTTAATTTCAGGAATTCTTCGCAAGTTTAGCGTCTCGTATGGGCAGGTACAAGAAGGGCGGAGTGCCCGACCAGGAGGCTGCGGCCAGGATACTCCTCAATGACTGGAATACTGGCAAGGTATGACTTTATACTTGTCTATTATGTATATTTCGTTAGTACTTGCCCGTGACTCCGTCCACACAATTAAAAAATGTGTCTTTTGCCAGACTTAGTTTTATATCTGTGCCAAATTTTTACCAACATTCGTTAAGCTATTTCGGAGATACCTTCTAACAAACATTCATCCATCCATCCATCCATCTATCTAAATTTTCCCGTTATTAAGATAAGTAAGATGAATAATGTCGTCTTACTTAAAAGATGATAATTTTTACCCAATTTAATTTCATCAATTTCTAGTAGATGGCGCTGTAAATTACAGATACAAATTATGAAATCTAGTTTTTTGTTAGATAGACAATTTTCTCTCTCCAGGTTCGATACTTCACGGAACCACCAGAAGAAGATACTAATATACATGTTGATGCTAAAATAGTAACAACGGAAGCCAAGGAGTTTGATATAAACTCCTTCGAGGCAATGGAAACCGAAGCTATAGATGCTCTGCAGTCCGGCAAAGATGATGTTGAAGGCATTAAGGTATAATTATTATTATAATACTAGCTGTCGCACGCGAATCCGTCCGCGTGGATTAAAAAAATATATAATTAGTAGCCGATGTATTCTTTCAGGCTATGTTCTAAATGTATTTCAAGTTTAATCAAAATCCGTTGAGCCGTTGCGAAGATACCTCCATCCATTCATCTAAACTTTCGCATTTACAATATTAGTAAATTGAAAATGGATATCTTAGATTACATGAAGCGCCTGATTAAAGCGAGTCTACTGTATTTACTTATATGTTTTTTGAAAGAAAATAACAGAAATCAAATAATCTTTTTATTCAAAGTTTTTGATAATGGTAACCCTGAGTCAAAATTAACTTACATATACATTTTTAATGACTATTTAATTGCAGATAACAAG